CGGAAATCTGCAATGTATACTGTAGATACATGCAATTGCATGTTTCTTTAATAAAAAAACTTCAAAGCTTAGAACCATTTGACAGAGCTGCTGTTTGAGGAACAGGAGATATGGCAAACAGCCTTCATTCATTTATATATGGCAGGCTTTCTTTTTCTACTTTACATTTGGACTTTCTAACCTACTACAGTCTTTCAGTTTGGAATCTAAAGATGTTCTTGCTGATATTGTTATTTTATTTTGTATATATTAGACCTGTACTTTAGATGTCATAAAAAAGAAGAGAGAAAAAAGCAGGATTTTTTCTTTGAATCAGTAAGCTTCAAGGACACAATCTAGAAAAGCCCATATTTTGTGGAGACATAAATTGAGATATTATTGTTTGAATTGCATTTCAGATGTAAATAAATGATATAAACAAGAAGAGTTAAGAAAAGCAGCTCATCAACAATAAAATTGTAAGTAAATAAGAGGAAAATCCCTTTCTGCAACCAGTAATATTCAGAAGGATGAAAGCTGCATTTTTCTAAAGGTGATTTTAATAGAATTTGAAATTGATATTCATAGAGCAGGAGTTCTTATTGCCACAATTTGCCAATAGCCAATAAGAATACATATGCAGTGGTGAGGCTGCTATTGCATACTTGTTCTATAGGTCCCCAGGGAAGGTTCTATAATTGCAAAGCCACTAACTTCAGCAGTAATTTCAGTCTAGCTATATTTGCATAGTATAATCATTAACACAAGTTCTTTGGCGGTGCCTAAACCATTGGTAAAATTTACATTTGATAGTTAGCAACGAAGTCACACTGAAACTTTAAAAATCTCAAAGCATTGCCTTTGTGTGCTGCGCAAGAGGTTTACTGGGATGAAACTCAGGAAACCATTAAGAAGTATATCTCACCTGTTCTTGTCTTGTATAACTAAAAAGATATTATCTGGGCAAACCCATAGGTATGTCCACGAACACTGATAGTCTTTTGCAGCTAAATAATAGTAAGGTCACAATTTATGATTACCTAAGGACTTCCAGGTGCAACAGAGACTTCAAGGCAGAAACTGTTTTATCAGTCTCCTTATTTGAACATTGAATTGCTTCTCCTCAGCACGCAGTAGAAACTCACCTCTTCAGGAAAGTGCAACCAGCACAGCCAACAAACTGCCACTGTAGGTGTCATGTACCACATCCAAACAATATTTCCTGAATTTAGAGAGCTCAGCACATTTTAATCACTTTAGGAGCACTTCGTTTTATTTCAGCAATGGGTAGGGAGTGGAAAGCAGCAACTTGCAGAACAGAAACTCTGAGGAACTCCCCAGCCCCGGCTGCCAGGTGACTTCCCTGCCTGTACCCCAGATGCACAGTGGCTGTGTCTTCCCTCAATCACCACAGCTGCCTTTCCAACGAAAGCTGAGAATAGGATCAGGACACCACACAGAGCTCCTGTCCAACATGGTGGAAACAGCTGATGGGACCTAAAAGCACCGAGGGTGACTCTGAATGGCAACGTAGCAGCTGCTAAGCAAAGGTCTCACTTTCTAGTTATCAGTTGGCTACAGGGTTGTTTTGTGTTCTTGAGCCTAAAGCCTGACTCCTTGTCAGACTAGCTCTGAGAAAGGATATTTATGCAAATTTCACTGGAAAACTATTTACAGCACATTTGTTCAGACTTTCTCTTTAGCTGCTACTTTTTTATTCTTACCAGTTTTAACGCCATCCTCAACGTAAAATTTCTTTTTTTTTTGATGATAGTGTTCACCCCTTGCCTTTTAAATCTTTCAAGGCTTTTACAAATAAGCTTTTAAGTTTAGAGCTGCAAACCTAAAAAGGTTGCCTGACATTTAACAATGATCAGAACTCAGACGTACCCAGTGAAATATCTTGTTCTGAAAATGTTCTTGTTTTTAGAATAACACTGGACATTTCTTTGTTTCCATACCACTTCAAGGTATCACCTTCATCATGTATGTGGAGAGATCTCGAACTGAAATTCTCCACTTAAATAGATTTGGGAGTTTCTCACCATCAAACTAGTATGGGTGAGTTATATCTCTGTATTGCAAGGTCATGCCAAACACCTGAAGGTGGGAAAGCTATTTCTTTGCCAAGGGCCAGAGTGTTTTTCTTGCCCCTGTACTCCAGCTTGCAGGGGGATCCCTGGGACATTCCCAGGTACTTCCCCTGACTAAGCACCAGCATCTTGCATTGCTCTACACCAAAGGACACAGCATAGCGTCTGTCATGCAGTGCCCTGGCATGGAGTCAGCTCCCAGGCAGCTGAAAAGCATGGGCACAGAGCAGAAGGAAAAGCGGTAAAATGTAAGCTGGATTTGATTATATTCCAGTTGAGTAGGAAAGGCAAGGAATTAACCATGAACACAAAAAAGGGGGCCTGAATGCCCATTCCAAGGAGACAATAAAGGTGAGACTGAGCTAAAGCGTTTGAAGGAGAGAGAACACCACAGGATACTCTAGTCACCACGATGAGAGAGAAGATGGGAAATTCAAAGCTGCAAGTTAGAGAAACGAAAAATCAGCAGCTGTGATCACTTGCTTAATCTGCAGTACCCCTACAGAAAGTAATAAATTAAGTTGCATTAGCTGTAAGGGTTAAATACTTTGTTTTCAAACATTTCTCACAATTTACTCATGCCTCCCACAGAAATGCTTATGTTAGCCTGAGAAAAAACGATGTGTCTAAGGCTTGGACAGCAAAGAGGAACTGTGATGAGATTTGACATGCTGAAGGGCTTGTTCTCTGATCAGGGAAGAAATGAAGCGTTGCATTTTAAAAGAGATTTTCAACTGAAAATTTTAATTGGACCTCACTTTTAAAGTGTTTCAAATCCTCTCTGGGTACAATATAGTGCACACAAAAAAAGTCTGTGATATTCTGATGGTTGCTTATCTACATGCTGTCCCAAAGTATGACAGAACATGGTGTAAATTATGAATAGCACGTGGGTGCTCTGCTGTTGCACTGCAGGAGATGCAGTTAGCAGAAGATTTGAGAGTTCAGCATTTTGTGCCTTTTAGTAACAAACTATGCCAAAGGAAAGGGTCTGAATGCATGCCTACAATTTATTTCTGCATGAGCTGTGGCTTGGTCTTGTGTGGGGCATTTTCTGTCCGTTGTCTTGCTTTTCTAGGAGTGTAAGTAAAAAAGACAGAGGAAGAAGTCCAGCTGCAGTAACTTCATTGGCACAATGGGTTTTATCCATGTTGCCCGTCCATTGAATAGAGTAGAAGCCACAGGTTTCCATTAGGAATCTGCAATTAGTATTTTTCTTCTTATATTATTGCAATTAAGCAACCAAACTACCAGTGTTTGCATTGATCATCTAAGGAGAATCCATCTTCTTTATCAATGATCTTTGCTCAGAAGAATAAACTGAATGGATAGTGGTTTGCCTCCATCTGAATCCCAGAACAGTATCTTTCAGAGGTCACTTTTTTGTTGTTTAGAATATGTGACTAAAGTACTGTTCCCAGGTGGCCAGTGCTTGGGATGGGAGGAGAGAGAGGCAAGCGTGTAACACCTGGTAGAGTATGTTTGCAAATGAATTGGAATGATTTAAGATAACAATAAATGACAAGTGTAAAAGTAAGAATTACTGATACTGAGAGACAAAACATTAAATTGTAGCTATTTAAACAATTATTAATTAAACTATTTCTGCATAATATAATATGGCTTTTATTAAATTCACACAATTCATGTAAGTAACCCATTTAAACTGCAGGCTGCTTTGTGGAGAAGAGAGGATCTCAGCTCCTGAAAAAAAAAGGCATCTGCCAAAATCCTCCATGAGTCACAGTCCCTCTGGGCCTCAGTTTCCTCCTCTGTAAAATAAGTAGAATAACCTGATTTTTTTCCCCCCACTGAGCTGCTATATTAATACATCCTTCTTGTAAATCCTGTAGAAGGATACAAAATGTTCTAATGTTCTTGAGCTTGTTGTTCTGAGCATTTTCTATTTTGAATCCTTGTGCATTTTCAGATGGGAGGTAGAAGTGGGTCATTCCCTAGTGATCTTATTATGGAAGTCTCTCCCTTATATAAGGACCGCTAATTCTGCATTCTTCTCCCTTATCAGTGACAGATTTGGTCAGTGCTTGTTTATCAGTACATATTTATTTTAATATGTCACAGTGTCTTCTGGCCACAGGCTATTACCTTGAACTGTAAAATAACTTTCATTACTATTTCAGTAAAAAAAGAAGGTCCTGTCACCAAAGACGTAGTGGTAGCATAAAACAGCAGGAACTCTGACCCAAGAAACCAAACCTAATTAATCAGAGCCTGCAGCTCAACCCAGTTTGCTGTTCAACAGCAGTTTTGATTAGTAGGGCTAGAGGCAAAGAAGACCTTTTTCTTCCATGCTTAAAAAGAGAAGAAAAGGAAATGCATGTATACATTTGACACAAGAAATACATAGATTGTAGATTATTTTTGTTTAGGCTGAGTATCCTTGAATTGCAGAACAACTTTAATGACCATTAGCCACTATCTCAGTGATTAAGTAAATGAACTAAAGAAAATGAACTGCTGGTTATGTTCCCAAACACTCGGTACAGTTTATTGAAACTGATCAGTTTAAACAAGCAGTAAATTAAGATTCACTTCAACCTCTACCTATTTGGCAAATACAATTGGGGAAGACACTCCCTAGCTTATGGAGAAGTGAAGGTGGCTTTCGGTACTGACAGAAAGTGAAAATCTTTAATGCATCCATGTTGGTAATTTACATTCAGTGTCAGGAATAAAAAATCTAAGAGACATGGGTGTCTTCTGGAGCTCCAGAGAGCAGCATGTACATCAGCCCAGCAATCACCACTGCTAATGTGCTGTATGAGGAATACATATTCAAGTCAGTGCCTAATGCAGGGAGAAAAAAAACCTGCAGTTGTTAACGTATCTTAAACTGAAATGAATTTTGTGCCTTGATGGAGAGAAATAAAAGACAAACATATGTAGAAAGCAGGAAATGTGCCTTACCTCCATCTAGTTCTTCAGCTCCAAAATGATTCCTGTAGAAGAGCATAATCTCTATCTTGTAACACTTGTAGATAGTCACTAAACAAACAAGCAGCAGCAAAATAGCACCAAGCCCACCAGCAAGCTCAACTGTGTACATCAGCTCTGCAAAGAATTACAAAACACAGCAACAGTCACGTTCCAAACCAGAGAAAGATTAGCAGCAGACCTCTTACTTAGGTTAAACATTAAAATAAAATAATGACTGATGGTTTATTTATGTATTTATTTCTTTGTAGGACCCTTAAAGAAATTTCCAATTAATAGAGTTTTTTTTTTTTTCCTGTAGTCAATTATTTTTTTCCTCTGGTACACCATCTGAATTGCTCATTTGAAAAATAACAATTGCTGGGGATATGTGTCTGTGTGAGTATGAGTATGGGCATAAACCTAAGACATATTTGATAACTGTCTTCCTTCTCTCTCTCTGTTGATAGATCACAGTTTGCTTTATAGAGATAAATGTTGACATTCCACTTACAATGAAAGCAGAAAATCGGGTTTTTTTTTTTTTTTTTGGGGGGGGGGGGGGGGCGACTATAATGCAAACACGGCTTCTCCCTTATTCTACATACAAATAAGAAGAATTTCAGACTACTAGATAAGGTTACACTACGGATTTGGTGTGTGTGTGTCCCCACCAATTAAAAATAACTATTAAAAAAAAACAAACAACAAAACTTGAGAGATGTGAAGACAAATTATCCAAGGAACCCCACAGCTTTACAACATTTCAGTTATGTGTCATCTTTGACACAGTTTCCCAAAGATTTGTAGTTCATCTTTATTTTACCCTTACCCCCAGAGGGACTGGCTTATGTGTAGTCACAGCAAACCATCCTGACGTGCCCGTTCTGACACTCCCATTCAGACCATGACCCCTGGTGTTTTTGCTATACTCTGCCACTGGAGACTCACATGATGGATTCAGGTAGCTCCGTTCCTGATGATGTGGACTCTGGTCAAATATGGCAACAACTGTTTACCACCAGCAGTATCCTCAGTGGGGCCACTTATCTGCATAAGCAACCTGCCATCATGGGCTTTCACCTACCCCTGTCTAAAGTGTTGCACAGTCAAGGAAGCTCATGCAGCTACATGACATCCATTTTGGTTTCAGTTTTCATTTGCTTATTGACTCAAAACCAGCAATGTAAAAAAAAAAATAAAAAAGGGAGGGTGGGAGGAGGAAGAGTGTTACTAACAATGATGCAATTTGAAATGAGTAACAAATGGCATATCTTAAGCCCACCCATACTTTTCTAGTATCATTCATTTTCCAGGA